AGTCAACTAAATCAGTCGACAAATCTTTCTCCTGGCCGATTGATTTAGAAATGCCTCCTTATATATTTCTTTAATATGTCCCAATGTTATTTTTTCAACAATAATACAAATATTATTTTTATAAATTATTTTACTATAATAATTATTCGCCAGAAAAATTAAAGGCAGGTGAAAAAAACTGGTATCTTCATAGACTTGTTTACCTAAATTATACAAATAATAAAAAATTCTTATTTTAAGAAGTCAGCTAAAAGAAATAATTTATTGAGAAATATTACATGCTTAATGTTTAATCTTGCTGATATAGTTTTTTTTTTCTGGTACGTAGAGCCATAGTTAAGTAATTATAAATGAAAGGATGATGTTTCAATGCCGGATAAAATAACAGAATCTCTTCAAAATTTTCAAATTTACTGAATTTTAAATGACATATTTTTTTTAAAACTTTTATTATGATATTTACAACTGTATTAGTATGAATACAAGTAAATGTGTACAGAGGAATATTATCACATGAAACACGCTTGTTGAGAAACTACCCATTGGTAGCACTCTAAAATGACATATTTAAAATGATTTTTTTAATATGATGGGATAGTTTATCAAGAGCGCAAATAAATCAAGAACGAAAGAAAAAAAAATGGATTTTTAGGAATTTATTTATTTTTTAATTTAATTTAAATATATACATATATATTATAGAATATAATCAGTAAGTGTTTCCCCCACTAGCTCTGATCATTGGCAGTTTTCTTTTCTTCATTCCACCGACCAAGTTTTTTATTTCTTCTTCTGGGGTGTTGTTCCACTCTTCCAATAAACTCCTTCTCAAATCGGCCAAATGTTGAAAGTCTCGAGTGCTTTGACATGTTTGATTTCTTCTTGCCGGAAGTAATTTCTTACCAGCGAAGCAACATGAGATCGGCATTGTTAAGCATTCAAATAATGTCTCTCCTATAAGGTATCATATGTGTCTCTAGAATCTCCCTTTGTACCTCAAACCAATTAAGGAGCTTCGACACACAAGAACCAACCCCGTAATGGAATTTAAATTTATGTTTCCTCAAACCATCACTGAACCTCCTCCATAAGCAACTATTGGGGAAAAATTAAGTGGAGCATACCTCTCTCCCCGCCTCCTCCACTCTGTTTAACGTTGATCTAGAGATCTTAGGCTGAATCTGATCTCGTCGGTGAATAATACACGACTCCAGTCTTCCTGAGTCCAGTTTAGGATTTTCTGGACAAACCTCCAGCGCCGAACTCCATGGTCCGAGGTCCAAATACTCGAGAATTGGACCTCAATCTTTATTCGGTAAGTCGTCTTCTGACGGTTCGCTCTGAAATTTTTGTCTCCTGAGATACTTTAGGAGATCATACAGACTAATTCTTGTAGAATGTCGATCTCGAAGAACGTGAATTTGTACAAATTCACGTCACGCTAGGATGTTGACCTTGGACGACCTTGCCCCTTTCTCTTGGAATGCCTTTCAGTCTCGCGGTACCTCAATAATCGCTAATAAAAACCTTCTTCAATTAAATGAAGAAAGCGGATAGACTTCTTGATTTCTTGAGTCAATTTCCATCTGTTCCAATCCAATCAATTTTACGATTAAAAAAGGTTAGTAATTTATGCAATAAAACAAAAAATATAGTGTTAAAAAGAACAAGAAATGATATTCGGGTGGTCCTTAATGGCCGATTCGTGTAAAAGAAAAAAAATGTAAATGTTTTCCCAATCTAAATTTGGTAAATGGCAGGATATTTTTTGTTGTACATTTTTGCTTTTTTATTGCACATAATCCAGTCTCTGGTAAGAAGAATGATCGAGGTCAGCTGATCCGGCTCTTGGAAATTGATTTTTAAAAAAATTAACACATATTCGTCCGCGTGTTGAAAATTCGTTATTTCGCAATCTCCAATAACCGAATGATGAAAATTCGCCATTTGTAAATAACAGATAATAATTTATTCTTGTTCTTTTAATTCAAAATAAATTAAATTTCAATGATAACAACACGTATCAGATCCCAATAGCCCTACTTTATTCATTTCTTTAAAACCAACGTTAATATATATTAGAAATGTTAAGCAACGTCGAGATTGGTCAATACTTGGATGGGTGACCGCCCGATTTGGGTGACCGTCCAGGAAAAGCCATGGTGTCTGAGTCTCTCCCCCGCCCCTCCCCCCTCGAGTATGTGAGGCCCGTTAGGCTACTGGAGACGACTCACCCCGACGGGCATAGGACTTATGACCTTACTCCGTGTACTTAAATCGGGAATCGGGATGTGTTTTGCCAGGATGTTAGTAGCCCCCTAATCTTCGGTCCATGGACGGTCTGTTCCGGGGAAAGAAATATAAGTCTCGTGCGCCTGCTGACTCTGAGCAGTCATAATCCATGGATCTAGACCGATCTGTCACTGTCCTTGAACCCGAGTGAGTCGGTGGGAAGGACACTTCCAGATTGGACATATTGGATCGGCTATGGAGCTATGGACGGTCTGTTCCCGGGAAAGAAATATAGGTCTCGTGCGCCTGCTGACTCTGAGCAGTCATAATCCATGGATCTAGTCCGATTTGTCACTGTCCTTGTACCCAAGTGAGTCGGTGGGAAGGACACTTCCAGATTGGACATATTGGATCGGCTATGGAGCTATGGATGGCCTGCACCATGGACACCATTGTTCGTAGCAGCGGGAGGTTGGGTGACCAGAGGGTCATGTATGTAGGTACATGCTATCTATGCTTCCACAAGGAACATACGTCTGTGAGGACACCACATCTCGTGGCCAAAGATCTTCATGGTCTGTAGCGCCAACCGAAAAAAAAAGTATATATATATATATATATTAAATTCTATTTTTTACCGAACAGACACCGATATTTTGTGAATGGCGGTACAAAAAATTACCGGTCGAATATTTATTAAAATGTTAATTTTTACCTCTCCTCCAAAGAATACTACCAGTAATACTACAAATAAAATTTCGATGTAGTTTTTCTCTTACATCTATAAAATTTATATTAGAACACAAAATAGTCATAAATAATCATTTATTTTACTTTCACTTACCTATGTATGTAATATATAGAAAAGGAAAGTATTGGGTTCGTGAAAATCTGAGTTTTCAACGGAAATACACGTTTTGAGGCCTCCTGAGTCTAACTAACCAACTGGTCTTTGTGTATGTGAACAGTGTAACTCAAAAACGAAAAGTTGAACGAAACTGATGTTACCTATTTAAGATAGGTATATATTTGGATGTGACAGCAACTTTTTCCTAAAAATTGACTAACCAGAAGTGATACTTTATATCAACGGTTACAAAAATTTTTACAATTTTCTCAAAAACGGCTCCAACGATTTTGAGTAAACTCAGTGTATCGTATGATTTTTTACTCAAGTAAAAATAATTTGTTTGATAGGCCCTACTAAAAAAAAAACCTTAGTTTTATTTTAATTCAAGAAATGAATATAAACGTTCTTCCGAAAAAGTGAGATATACTGAAACACTGGGGCCAGATTTTCAAGACTTGTGTCCTCTTCCTCGATCTTATCAAAACTACTTTTGAAATTCCAGCTGACCTGGCTCCAGAACTGATTAACTAAGAACATTGACTTGGCATCATATTACTGGCTGCTTTATAATACGTTTATTTTCAAATGGTTATTTCGACTTTCTTCTTGTAAGGTACTTTCATTAATTTAGAATTTCGGTGCGAGGTCTGGTAGGATTTATTTTTATTAATTAATGTTAATATATTTCTTTTTTCTCTTTTTCTCGCCTCTACCCTAAATATATATATATATTTATCTTAGTCAAAATGTTACCACAGTGTTTCATAATAATTTTTAATGTTTAAATATATTACTGTCGAATATTCATTTTTTTAATTATTTCTAATTAAACATCACTACTTTACCTAATTACGTTGGATTTGAAAAATTTGACCATTAATTTTGTCCACATAGATTGGTCATTCGTTCCACTGTGCGACGACACTAAATACGACCATGGATATCTTATCGCTAAAAAAATAGACACCACGTTATCTTGAAAATAATTAATTACCTCTGCTTCTATTCAAAGCTCTAGCGGATCCAGGATTTAATTTTTTTTGGCTGAGGGAGGAGGAGGCTTCAGCCCGAAACTTTTTCTTTTCATATATATGTAACGATAATTACTTTGGAAAAAAAGAAAAATACTAACTACCAATGTGAAATGGTGTTCAAGTGATTCTTGAAATCCTAATAAATGTAATTACACGAACAATAAGAGATAGTTTTTTTTATTTTTTCCATATAACATGGATACATTTTACCATTTGGGGGAGGGATGGGGCTTCAGCCCGAAAGCCCTCCTCTCGTAGGTCCTTTGTCAAGTACAAAAGTTGTGAAAATCAAAGTAATCTAATACTGCACATCCTTATCTTGTAATACATCGTAAAAACTTTATAGCACGAAAGATCGTATGTACTCATCTTAAACCATCATGTAAGGCAATATGATGTATTTTTTTAAAATATATCCTTGTGTCTAGGTAATAAGTATTTATGTGTATAATTTAATAGTATCCTTATTTTATAAATGCCTTCACAATGTAGTCTTACTTACTTCTTTTTTTATTGATATTAACATAGCGTCGTATTTTCTTTGTATATTTACTTGAGTCTTTGATAAATATAGAGAAATCTCAGACTTTGTGAACTATATATTTAATAATAATTATATTTTTTTTAAATAATAGCAACAATCAGTATATAACTCGATATCCCGTCAATTTCAAGACATTTTGAAGAAAAATACGTTTATCTGATGAATTATAATTATAATGTTCCATTATTTTATATATTTAAATAATTAAGTATATTTTTACCGTTTATCAAATAAATAGGAATGAAATATTTTTTTCATTAATCAATTTTAAGAATGACGACATAATGAATGAGGTTACCGTGTTTGAATGACTGGAGGAACTTGGATTACATAACAACGGATGCTTCTTACGTAAGGGAGATGTTCCAGCCGGACTTCTTTTAAGAATGGCTAATTGCCAAATATTTAGAATGATATAATATATAGATTGTAAAAAGAAGTATTATGTAAAAACATAATTATATAATTACAATAAAAGACATAAAATCAATAAAACGATAATTATTATAACATATATGATTAAAACGGTGGTTGATCTTTATACAATCTTTGTTGATATTAAAATTTATACATACATTGCTTAATGAATTGAACTGACAAATAAAAACATATTTTGTGTGATTCATATTAAAATTAAAAGAAAATGGGATATTAGTGAATGAAATTAAATTTCGATCATTGAATTCATAATTGGTAAATGGTTAACTGTCGTGGATAATGAAGAGAAGAATAGTTGGGGTGGTCAGTCAAAAAAGAAGGCAAAAACGTTCAGGTCGAAACGTCGGCATATGTAAAAATAAATATTATCATTTATTTTTGCCTTCTTTTTTGACTGACCACCCCAACTATTCTTCTCTTCATGATCATTGAATTCCATTGAACTCCTATACTGCTTATATTGTTATATTATACCAAATAGTGAAGATACAGCTTGTTTATCTTATAACAAGGTTTTAAACATTGATATTTCAAAATAAACGCATAGGAAATTAGCAAGTAGCATAGAATAATTTTAAAGGATAACTAACGAGATTTTTTTTTTTCTCTTCAAATATTTCTCCGCACCTGTCATGGTATTGCCAACCAGCAGATTTGTTGTGGTAAATAAAGATTGTCATGATAGGCAGGTGGAAGGATAGTACCCAGCAGCACCTCTTCCTGGACATTATTTACATCCTTGATTTATGTGAGGAGATCCCTCATCCAGCTCCTTTTTATTCTCCTCCTGATGGGAATGTCAATCCTGGTCATTTCGTTTATAAGAATGTTTGTGTGTACGTGAAGTTTGAGATGAGTTGTCGTAAGTCGTTATGTAAAGTTTTGTTGTTGACGTATCAGGGAGCTCTTGTTATAAGTCGTAAAATTTTGGATTTAGATGGATTGCTACCATATTGTATAAATTTCACTATTTTGGTATCTTCTGTAGTCCTTATTCTTTATTGTTACCGTCAAAAGCCGTTTTACAGGGTGTCAAAAAGGTTCATATAAATAATAGGCCAGTTTTAAATAGAAAAGTATATCCAAGTTTTGTGTTTATTTATGTAGGTCAGGTTTTTTATTTAATCGAAAGTAATAACTAAAGAAATATTTAAATTTAAATAATTCAGGAGAACTCCAAGCCAAGTCGTTCAATAATCACACATACATAGCTTGTGTGGAGAATCCTATATTGCCAAAACTCCAATATATGCTTATTCATAACAGGTCTCTGGTCCACTGCCGCTTCAACCTTCGAGGAGGATTTTAGGGATGGGTGGAGCTATAAAATAATTGTGCAAGAGGATTTGGATGATTTTTAAGGTTCTCATGAAATTTTGAGAATTTTTCCGGGATGAGGTCTAGGGCAAATGGGATATTAAGGTAATGGTGTAGAGTTTTGTTGGTTACATAGAAAGGGACATCAACCATTGTTCGAAGGACTTTAGATTGAAAGGATTGGGTGAGTTTGATGTTAGATATTTTTTCTGTCTGTGAAAATTGTTCTAAAATTGAAATTCTCCACTTTTATTCGATAATTAAATTTAACATTCCAAATTTCATAATTCATTTTTGTTTTTATTTAATTTCAGAAAATGGCGTTAAAAATAAAGAATTATGACTGAAAAAAGATTACAAAGTTGTGAAATTTAAACAATAAAGTAGCATTATTCAGAGAATAAAAAACATCAACACAACGAATTAGTCCCTTGGCTTGGTGTAAATACAAAATAATCCTATTTTAAATATATAATATATCTACATTGCCTGCAAGGCTAAGCTAATTTTCAATTAAGATGATAAAAACACTTTGAAATTGAAACATTTATCGTTTTTATAAATAATTTGTTCGTTCGAAGACTTTCACACGACTGTATATATGTTTAAAAATTAGAAGTCATTTTAATTTCCAGTGATACGGTGGTGTGAGATTTGAACATAATGAATCAACTTTCTAATATTGGTCCGATAAGTGATGATAGATTATGACCTATTTGTTGATTTATTTTTAAATGATTAGCTTTTCGAAACTGTTAAAGTGTCATCTTCAAGTATCCAAGTAAGCAAGTTCTATTTAATCAGTACGCCAATAATATCGGCGCTATTATAAACGAATATATAATTGTATTAAGTCATAAAAAACTGAATATTTGAAAATTAATCAGAAAATATTCTTGATTATAATTCTTTACTAATACAAATGTAAACAGTAAGTCCGTGGTAGAGACTTCTTTTTATCGAATTATTAACATCCGCCTGAAACTTCGTAAATAGTTTCATCTCATCGAAACCTACAACTGTTTTATTTACGAAAACTCTTGGAATTGGGGCATTTCCAATCTGGAGGGAGGCAAATTTTGTCCATTTAATTAGGTACTAAAAACTTGCATATACCCATTTGATTTCTACTTGGGTCGTAAGATAATTCGATCACAAAATGGAGAAAAAATGTGGCCTTCAAAAATATTGATCCGTTTGGCGTGACCTACACATCCAAATGTTCAAAATAACGGGGTTATATAGGACAAACGGCCCAATATTTCTGTAGGCCACTTTTTTTTCTATTTTATGATCAAATTATCTTACGATCCAAGTTGAAAGCAAATGGGTATTTACGAGTTTTTGGTACCTAATTAAATGGACGAAGTTTGCCCCTCTCCAGATTGGAAACTCCTCAATTCCAGTCTATTCAAGTTTTCGTAAATAAAATAGTTGTAGGTTACGATGAGATGAAACCGTTTATGAAGTTTCAGGCGGATGTTATAATAAGGGGTCTGTACCCCGGACTAAGTAATTAAGGTACCGAAAAAAATATCATGCAGGCTCTACCCGAAAAAGGTGATTATTTAATTATGAAAAATATAACGACAAATGTAATAATAAAATCGCAACAAATATAAATAACAAATTTCTGAGTAATTGAAAGACAGAGCTTGGTTATAAATAAAATTTTGAAGAATATAATCACGAAAAATGGAAAACCTATCTAAGTAAAAAATCAAATTAAAATAAATAACCGTCTCTTTCAGGAAATTAGGCACATCATTTAGAGTTTACGTCATTGAAGGCGCGTACAGAAAAAATGCGGATGAAAACATTTTAATTTTTTTTTATTTTGGTCGGTACAAGATTTCCAATGAAGTCCAATACTGGCCATGTTGTAACCACATAATAAAATTTAAATTTTAAGAATGTTGAGAAGTAGTAAGTGATCTTAAAAAATAAAATTGTAGATTAACCTTCATGTCATGTCATAATAGTTCATGTCATAAATTATTTATTTTGTTAACCAATTAATTATTCTACAAATCACTCACGTTAAATAAAAATATAATCTTTTGTTTTGTTTTTAAGGATGGCTGTGGTCATAAATAAAATCAAGTATGCTTTCAAAAACTATCCAATAATCGCAAACAGTGTAACTTATGGAAGTATGTGCGTCCTAGCAGAATTCAGCCAGCAAGTGGTTACGCGGAAGTACATTGTAAGTAGCTCTCAATATTTTATAAATAAATTCATTTATATTTTTAAAAACCATATAATAAATAGTTATTTATTTCATGATGGTCCAAAATGTGTGTCTATAATAGTCAATGTTCCACTGGTGACACAAAGATAGTTTTAATCATGATTTTAAATAGATTTATTAATATACTGTTATATTGTATTAACACTATGATATTTTATTAACAATTGCTTCTATTGGCTATATATAACTTCATTTTGAAACCTTAGAATAAGAATAGTGACTTCACAAAATATAATTATTTGTCTTAATTTTGCTAAAAGTCATATGTATTTTTTCATTATGTTTTTTTTTAACTCTACAGGATAAAAAAGATCCCCCAGAACCATTAGATAAAGGTGCTCTGGTTAGGTATGCAGTTGTTGGTTCCGGCATCAACTCAAACATGCTCTACTTTTGGTATGCAACATTGTATCAGTTTATATATATATATATGTGTGTGTGTGTGTGTGTGTGTGTGTGTGTGTGTGTGTGTGTGTGTGTGTGTGTGTGTGTGTGTGTGTGTGTGTGTGTGTGTATGTGTGTGTGTGTGTGTGTTTCATTAATTATAAAGTGATCAAAGGTGATTTTTTTTTTTAAATTATACCCAAAAGTATACTTACATTCTGTAACTGAAATATATTTTTGGAATGGACTGGGAATTTCTTTTTTCAGTTGTATTACAATATCGTGTTGATAATATTTAAACATTATATCGACAGCCCCAATGCGAAAGCCTTTAAGTAAAATTTAATTAGAATGTACGGTTTTGAGCTTTCCCCGTTAATATTGACCTCGGATTATATTCATAAAAATCTAGTGCGCGCATCACACGACTTTCACTTACCATCCCCTTCTTAGCAGAAATAAGTATTTTTAGACAACTCCCCCTTTGTAAATATAAAGTAAATATTATAGACGCTATGTTTATTTATATTTCATTGAGGGTATTTTTATTTGTTTGATTAGCCTTATATATATAATTTTAATTTTTATGTAGCTGTAATCTGTACAATTAAATATTAAATAATACCAAAGTTTGGTTCCTCCATTACAACTATACTCCCTTACGATCTCTTATTTATCCTTCAGTTGATTATCTAATTCTTCCATATTTTATATTTAACTATTTTTTATATCAAAGATTAATGTGAAATAGTTAATTATTTCAAATAAAAAATGAAAGGTACTTTAAAGGAAACTTTTTTTTTTTTTTTTTTTTTTTTTAGCTTTAATGTTTTATTCACACCTGTCATAATGCTAATGACAACCAGTGAATGTGAGATCGATTGATTAATAGAATTGTCATGAAAGGCATGAGGAGGATCAGTGCCCAGCGGCACCTCACTCGGCGTGATATCTACATTAGGCTAGGAGGTCCCTCATCCAGCTCCTCTTCAGTCTCCTACAGACGTTACCGGGCATATTCGTAGTGGCCATGTCATTTATAAGTGTATTAGTATGTCCTTGTAAGTTGTCATGGAATCGTTTGTAATGAATACGTATGTGTTCGTTAACAGTCGGCATATGGAGGTCAGTATGTAAGGTTATGTTGCTAACGTAGCAAGGAGCTTTTGTAATTGTTCTGAATGTTTTTGCTTGAAAGATTTGAAGTTTGTTTAAGTGAGTCTTTTTAGCAGTTCCAAATATCTGTGATGCGTAAGTCCAAATAGGTTTTAGTAAGTAATTGTATGTGTTCAATTTCTATCTAAGTTTTAGTTTTGAATTTTTTGAAAGAAGTGAACTCAGAATTCTTAATCTTTGATTTAAAGTTTTTCGTTTTTTGATTATATGTGGGCCCCACGTCATTTTTCTGTCAAATGTCAGACCAAGGTAGTGAACGGTGTCTGTCTGTGGAATCTGTGTATCGTCAAGGAAAAATGGAGGGCATGTTTCATGTCGAAGCGTAAATGTGATGTGCTGTGATTTGTCTTGATTTAGTCGGATTTTCCAAATTTTGAACCAGTCATGTAATCTTGTTAAATACTGTTGTAGGGTCTGTGAGGCGTATGTTGGATTTTTGTGTCTTGCTAAAATTGCTGTGTCGTCTGCATATGTCGCTGTTAAAATGTTGGGACTACAAGGTATGTCATGGGTGTATGTGATATAGAGTAGTGGAGCGAGTACTGAACCTTGAGGTACTCCTGCTGAGATAGACCTGATGGAAGATAGTTCTGACCCGTGTCGGACCGAGAAAAATCTATCGGAAAGGAAGGATTGTAGAATTAGATAATATGTAGGTGGGAGTATTGTCTTGAGTTAAAAGAGAAGACCCTGGTGCCAAACTCTGTCAAACGCTTGAGCAACATCCAGAAATACGCCAGTTGCATATACTTTCTGCTCTAGTGCTGTAGATATGTAGTCCGTTACTCTATGTAGTTGGTGTATAGTTGAGTGATGTGCCCTAAATCCAAATTGATGGTCAGGTATTATTTGGGTGTTTGTTAGTATATCAACAAGTCTTTTGTTCAGTAAGCTTTCAAAAATTTTGGAACAGATAGGTAGTAAGCTGATTGGTCGGTATGAGGAAGGTGAGTTTTTGTCCTTTTTAGGCTTGTGAATCATTATTATATGTGAGTATTTCCACTGTAGGGGAAATTTAGTTGTCCTCAGTATTGCATTATAAATAGTTGTCAAAAGCAATAGAGCTTTTCTAGGCATTTGTTGGAGCACTTCAGCGTTAATCAAGTCATGTCCAGGAGCTTTTCTTTTAGGCAACTTTTTGATTTGTTCAGCAATCTGTGAAGGTGTGAATGAAATAGGAGGTGAAGTTAGTTGTAAGGGCATGTCTAAAGTGTTTAGTAAGTTGTTATCGTGCACAGTGTTAGTGAAGTCTGTGTGTGGTACAAAAACAGAAGAAAGATATTCGGCAAAGAGTTCTGATTTTTCTCCGTCCGTCACGGCCCAGGAATCATCTTGTCTTCGAAGGGGTGCTGACACTTCACGATGCTTAATAAGGTTTTTGGTATGTCTCCACAAGCTTCCATCGTCGGTTGAGAGATTTCTGATGTAGTTGTCATAGGTTGTTGGTTTGAATTTTCCAATCTGTCGCTTGAGTTCATTATTAAGTCTGTTGTAAGTTCGTTTATTTGATGGGAGTCTGTCAGTCTGCCATATTTTGCGAGCTCTCCTCTTCGCTCTGATCAAGTCCCTTATGTATTGTGGGTACATTGGTAGGAACTCATATTTTTGAGGTTTTGCTACTGATGAAGACCATGCTGCTTCTTGGATATTTCGTGTGAAGTATTCAACGGCATCCTCAAGTTCTTCTTCGTTTTTAATGGATAGAGGAACAGAGAGAGCAGTGTCCAATTGGTTCCTGTACCTGTCCCAATCCATTATGCCATTGATCAGGGACAGTTTTTTTGTAGCTTCACAAGGCTCTTCAAACAATACCAAATGCAAAAGGGAATGATCAGAGCAAAGATCTGAACTCGTTGTTATAGTGTGAGGTGTTGTTCGGAGTCCTTTAGTTATGAAAAAATCGAGTAAGTCTGGTATTTTCCGTCTAGAAGTTGGCCAGTACGTGGGTGAATTAGGTGATATTGTGTCTAATGAAAGCTCATCAAGAACATACCTAAGATTCCTTCCTCTTGGAGTAGATAGTCTGGATCCCCAGAACTGATCTTTGGCGTTGTAGTCGCCTCCTGCAATAAAGCATCTACCAAGACGTTTAAAGAAATTACTAAACATCATGGGTGTCAGAACATACCTCGGAGGGCAATAAACCGCAGCAAGAGTAATGTTTTGTTGTTGTGTTGATAGTGTAATGGCTGTAGCTTGAATCTCTGGTGTTATGGGTAATTGTAAAGGATTATGTTTTAGAGTTGTTTTGATAATTATGGCAGTGCCTCCATGTGAAGTTCCATCTGGGTGGTCAGTTCTGTAGATTTTGTAACCACGGATGTAAAATTTAGAATGTGGTGTCAGATGTGTTTCTGTTATAAGTGCAATGTCAATGCGTTTCTCGTGTAAGTATATGTCTAGTTCGGTTCTATGTTGATTCAGTCCGTTTGCGTTCCATAGTATAATAGACATGGAGCCCACAGTCGTCTGATTACGGGGCATATTTTTGGGTAAGAGCGAGAGTAGCCTGAGATAGCTGTTGTAGAAGACTGAAGAGGGGCTGTATGAGGTTATTGAAACCGCTAATCAAATGTATGATATCACCTGAGGAGGTTTCAATAGTAGGGAGCGTTTGGGCAATGCCCCTACTCATACCTTTAGTCCTTTGTTCTTGGTTTGTTGCCGGTGCTGGTTTTCGTTGCTGTCTCTGCTGCTGTTGTTCTAGTCCTGAGGGAATCGGATGAGGGTATTGAGGCTGATGCAGTGGTGGGAACTCGTGTAGTTCTGGTGGTTGGGATTGAACTCTAGGAGGCCTTTGCAGAGTATAGTTTCTTGTGCGGGTCTTCCTAAGCTCTTTCAGAGTTTCGCAACCTCTGTAATTAGCAGGATGTGGTCCTTGGCAGTTGGCACATTTTGCGACTGTTTCTCGATTCTTTGTACAGGAAGTGCTTTCGTGACCCATACCACACCTTACACACCTCGGCTGGTGGTTGCAGTACGTCTTGGTATGGCCATACTGCTGACAACGTACGCACTGCGGAATGATCCTTTTTTTCCTTGGCTCTTCGATCTTCACGTGTGTGTAATACAGGAATTCAATGTCGAAAATTTTTTCATTGAACGTTGCTTTGGACAAATCAACGAAAAACATTGGCAACGGTGTTTTGAATCTTGATATAACATTTACGATGTTGGTTGCCTCGTAACCATAGTTGGCAAGTTCCTGTTTTATGGTCGCTGGAGGTGTGGCGTGGTGTAAATTTTTAATAACTATTCGAGGCGTTTTATCTTCCGGGAGTTGATATGTGTGAAAATCAGCTCCACCCCTTCTAAGACTGGTCACTAACCTACGGTATATTTCTGCGTTTTCAGGATACACGCTGACTCCTCTCATAGACGTTTTCAACCTGAAACTGTTAGGGCCACCTTCATTGTTAAGATAGGTTACTAATGCCGTGTAGTCTTTCACATCGTTTATGTGAATAGGTGGAGGTCTAATAATAATGGGATTATTATTTGCTGGCTGTGTATCTTCCGGAGTATTTGATAAAACTTCGAATTGATTGTTAGTAGTAATAGTATCACTAACCTTTATTTGTTTATGACGTGGATCTCTGTCTGAAGCTACATGTCGTTTTCGTCCAGACACAACTTCCCAGGACATAGCTTCTGTTGCATTATCGTGGTTGACTTCAGTTGGTGAACCGTTTGAGCCGAAGTTTCCGTCATTTTTAGCGGAAGAATCCGCTGCACCAGTAATTTTACTTCAATTGATTGTACTTATTTAACTCACGAATATGGAAGAGATAAAGGAAATCAACATGCAGTTAATTGACTTAAATTTAAAGGAAACTAATATTGAAATTAGCCATTTAAGCGTTGTTAGAGAACATAAATGAGAATAGAACCTACATTATGTTAAAACTTCTTCATAATACATTGATATACTGTGTTTAATCAAAATCGTGAAAATGGATTAAACCCATAATATAATGTACCATTTTCGGTTTGCCAATTTTAACGAAAATGTTGCTGTAAAACATCCCAGGCTTATAAAATCCTCAAATAGGCAATTTCAGTTTCTTACGACTTATGACAGTGTCACACACACATACACCATTTTGTGGGACTTGGTTATTTGGAATCAGGGGACCCAAAACGTGTATTTTCGTTGAAAACTGAAATTCGAAAAATTTCACGATCGCAATACTTACCCTTATTACATTTATAGATAAGTGAAAGTAAAAAGAAACTTAAAACGTTATTTAGAACATTACAACTTTGTCTTATTTTTTTGCATTTACTGGCTTTTGCAGTGTGGCTGTCGAAATACTACTTTTTAACAGTTCTTTTTGTTGGTATGCCGTATATCTCATGTTTTGGTTTATTTTTTTTCAATAATGTATCTTTGTAATTGAAGAAAAAAAAATCGTCTCTTAACATTAATTGTATTTACATATTACCATTTGTTGACTGACCAATGTAACGAATGAATTATCCTAAGTGGCCGACTAAATAGGCTATTATTGTTGGACTACTCGTGTGTTTTTATTGAAATCATTCATTTCGGATCTGCTGTATACCCCAGCAGTAAAGTCAAGTTTAGCTGAATTTAACCTATTTCATGTCTATGACGCGTCGATTGCGTCGTACTATTGTTTCCTCAGTTGCTGTTTTCTCCAGATTTGGCAATAAATATAGAACATTGATTGTTTCCTGTAGACCATATCTTAAAATAAAAAAACCAAGATTCGAATCTCCTGGGTAAAAATGAACAAATAATTTATAAACAAATTATTTAATCAATCAAATCTTCAGATTTGATATATTATTTAAGCCAGTGAATACACGTGTATGTTGTCTTGTATACAAATTAAGAGCTGTGTAATATCGAAAATTGCGAAAAGTAAGTTTTCCTGTATAGTTTATACATTAAGTTATAATTGCTCTAGCCTTTAAATGGTTAAAGATAAGACAGTAAAGTAACATATATTCTTAATCAAAATTTAATATTAAACAACTTCCTTCCTCATGATTTTTTCGTAAAATGAAAAGATAAAGAGTTGGATGTCAAATAATGATAAAAAAGCGATGGATATTTTTTTTTCTTTTCGAAATTAGTGAATTACGAGGACGGATTTCACGGAAACTATAGAATATAGTAAAAAAAACTAATATAACTATTTATATTGCAAATTTTGGCTGTTTTAATTTCACATTTCACATTAAAATAGATAGAACGCATAGTTTCGCTGATATAAGTGAAAAACTGAAAAGTCAACTTATTGATTCTTAATTTTTCGACTTGAAATCCACAGGTATATGGGGTAACTGACTATTATTTCATGTTTTAAGACTATAAATTGAATGAATATATCTATAAGTTCTTTCTATATATACAATGTAGGGTCTCTTCTATCTTCACATGGCCGCCATTTTGTATTCCAGCAGCTATGCTGTTCCATGCTGGCAGACGTGCTTTGACAAGTTTTTATTGTAATAATTTGAAAATTAAATCGTAATATTATTTACTAACAACCGAATTGACTAAGGTGCCTGGTGTATATTCCCTCTATATTTCGATTCCATGCTTAACTAAGTTGACATTTATTTCTGAAGGTTGGTTATTGTATATTGAAATTAAGTGATATGGAATCTTTTAATTAAACAAACTTCTGTCCAGGTACAAATGGCTGGATAAAAAATATACTGGAACAGTTCCGAAGATCATCTTAAAAAAATTGTTACTTGACCAATTTGTGATGACACCACAGCTCCTAACTGCTTTTTATATAAGTAAGTTACATAACTGTTGTGTTTCCTATTTTTCTAAAACTGAAAGTTTAGACTTGAAGAATTGTTCACCATTTCGTTTTTTATAAGCGTTTGGACTTTTTGAAACACGAAATTAAGAAATTATATATATAAAAAATGTGTGATGTGTATGATCTTTGTTTATATCTATATTAAAACATGCAGGATAAATTCAAATATTATCACTTTTTTAAAGTGAAATTAATTTCGACTAACGAATAATAAATTAAAAATCTATTATTTCCTTGAATTTTAAATGGATCAGATGTCCAAGAAAATGGCCAAATAGCTCTATCTCTATCTATGTAGGTACTTAGTAGTATTTTAAATACTATGTTAACAATTTGTTATCGTTTTTGGGTCTATGAGATTTATATTTGCAGTACCACAACAACAGGGGGCGTAGCTCAGATGGTAGAGCGCTCGCTTAGCATGCGAGAGGTACCGGGATCGATGCCCGGCGCCTCCAAGCCTTTTTTTTTTTCCTTTCAACGTTTTGTTAATTTTTTTAATGTTAATAAATTATTTAATCATAACTAATAAATCCTTCCAATAATCTAGTTATCTCTTAATATTAATTTTTAAATCTACTGCATTTTTCTAATTGAAGTTGGTTAGAGATTACAGACATGGCTGTTCAAAAAAATAAATTATATTATTTATTTTGTTTAATATCTTATATTACATCTTATAATATAAATTATAATTACATCTTATTTATTATTGAATTTATAAATTTAAATGTAATTGAGTATTTCCAATGATTGCATTCCCAAACCAACTTCTGTTAAAAGAATCAAGAGTCAAAAATTCATCTACTATCACTGTAATTTTTAATTTAATGTTTTAAAAATAATTTACTTCGATATTGTGCAATTATATTTCAAACATAAATGGTTTATTTTTTATTAAATTTATGCTATATAATATATCAATAAATGAATAATAATAATAGGTGAATTGAATTGTTGGCTGAAACGATGTAAGATGTATCTTTTTCATAACTAATTTTTTTCAAATATCATTTGTTATGATTCTCTGATGGCTATTTGTTAGTTAGGTTTGATAGGTCAGTGTGAGAACTAAACACTTAGCTTATTCATATAGTCAATCTCACAACAAATACGATTAGAAAAAAAAAATTATGTAAAGAGTCATATCCAGTGTTGCTCGGTTTACCAATTCAATTTATGTTGTTAGACCGACCGACTAAACTTGATGTTAAACAAGACAGATCGTCTCTTAACATTTCTTAGAATAATAGAAAATGTATTATATAATGTAAAAATTATTCTAGATTAATCTGACTGAAAAAGAATTTTTTTGTAATATTTGTAATATATAATGTGATTAGGTACATGTACTTGGACTACAAACTGCCTTTGCGAACTTTGAATTCTATAATATCTAAAGTTTGTCTTCACCAGACAATTTTCACCCCCATTTTTCTTGCTTCCTTTTACGTAAGTAAGTATATAAAAAAAAATAATTTTAATAAAAGTTAAAAATTATAGTTGGCTAATATTATCCTTTACTAATTATTTCAAGCGGAAATGATATTCAAAGTCTATATTATACTATTTTATTGTGAAATTTGAATTAGAAAATTTGTGGTTAAAAAAAAATGTATTACATAATTCAAGTAAACTGTAATTATCATAACAGATTTATTACCTTGCTATTTATCATTAATATTTCCTTCCTTCAATGTTATAATGATATATAAACTAATAATTATTAAGTCAACCTTTGTGTTTAAATGTAATGAACGGAAAAAATTCCGTGCATAGTTCTAAAAATTCTTTATTCATTGATCAAGAAACAAGATTATATAAAGAAAACTGAATGAACAGTTTTATAATTGGCTAGTATTAATTTAGTAATTAAGCATTTGTACTTCATTGAACTTATATGTGTGCACAATACATAACTTAGCATTGTATATTTATATTCTTGATTATTATGACAAATATGAGAGATAAGAAATAAGAGAGATTATACCTATTTATATTTTATTATATAGAATGCTTCTCTTGAGTGAAATAATATCATATATATATTTTAGATTAGTATTAAGTAATAATAGCTTATTATGTTGAGGGATGGGGAATTCTTCCTTTTCATAACCCATGTAGATATTTTGTAACATATTCCTCTGTTTACCTACATATCTCATGGACATTGTATTAAGCTCACAATCTTTGGTTTATCAATAAGGCTCCTGGGAAATGTATTTTTTCCTGATGCATTTGCCCATTTTATCACCACGCTCCCTAAGTTCAATAGAGTTATATGCATCATTACCTCTAAGGTTGCTGCAGGGCTTATTCTAATTGCTCCAGTCATACATAGAAAACTCTAACATTAAACGTTCTCCAACCTTATTTGTATGGTTCTTTCCTTTGTTTTCACCACCAGGTGATTAATACAATAATCATACCCTGAAACGAATGACCCTGATATATGATCATTCCAGCATTTTTTGTTTAATTCCCCCATTTTATTTATTTCCAAAGCTTTTATAGGTCCTGTAGTGAAGCATTAGCCATTCTTATAACATTGTGTATTGGGAAGCTACATATGAGTTTTACTTCCACTTACCTATATTATACTAAATACATAGTATTTGAATGTATTGCTATCATGGAAATTTTCGAATCCTAATTTTCAATGGAAATACATGTTGATTTAATTATTCAATATTAGTCATGTATTATTCTCATTGAAATAGTTTGACTTGCTTAAATCCCAAAATTTCTTCCTCTAAAGTACCTTTGAATTCATTTATTTGAAATAATTAAAGACTTCAAATTGTAACCAATAATAAAAAATAGTTAAATAACTATGAAAGAATTTGATAATCAACTAAAGTAGAAACAAGGGATGATAATGCTAAACTGAAAGTACCCAAGCGTGCATTTGAGCTTGCCTGAAAAGTAATGACTTCCAAAGTAACAAGCGCTTAAAATATGACATCATTGATGAAGAACCTAGGGACTCTGATAATGTTTTCATAAATGCACTGGTATTATTTTATATTTAATTGATCGCAGCAATATTTAGCCCACATGAAATATAAGTTAATATTGCGGCTTCATTTAATACTATAATTTTTATTTTCACTTTCTTGTAAATTTAAAGTCATATTTATAATCAAAGTAGAGTGGTAAGTAATAGTTGTATTTGTTGATGTACCAGATATTGTTATGTAAGACAATATTTTATAGATATTTAAGATACATAAGATATTTTAAAAACTAAGACATTTTCACTTATGAACAATCTTATTTTATAATTTTATAACTTAATTTTATTTTAATACAAAAAACTATGATCATATTTTGTTTAACTTTTTTTATTTTTTAGGCATGAGTATAATGGAAGGTAAAGAAGACATATTCAAAGAACTGAAAGAAAAATTTGTACCAACGTTTCAGAGGTCTTGTCTGTTCTGGCTCCCAGCACAAACTATTAACTTCCTTTTCATACCCCCTGTGGCTAGGGTTGTGTATGTTGGTACTTGTTCCTTTATTTGGATAAATATTCTCTGTTATGTCAAGAGATGGAATGTAGAAGAAACGGCACAAGAAGAGGCAGTCAAATCGTGATTACTTTAATGACCCCGTTTCAGTTGTGGATTGTTTGTGTTTACTGATTCTTGTACACTAGATCCAAAGGAAAACAATCGAGTAAAAAGAGTGATTTATGAATGTAATATATAAAAATATAATTTTTATTCAATGTGTGAAATACATTATCCACCTCTTCTATATCTAGCTTAAGATGTTTGCAATCATTATTGAAATTCAGTTATGATTCCAAATTTTAATCCTTATACGTTGTTTGACAATATTTTATTTCTTTCTTAGTATGTCATATCTTCCTTAATACTTTAGCAAATCTATTGAGCCATCGTTTTGAAGATTATCTTCTCCTTTAATGCTGAAAATAAGCTCATCGCCCTAAAAAACTTATAGTTGATTTTACTAATGTTAACTTGAAAAGATTTCTAATTTTTCTACAAAACAAGACTATTATTAGTAAACATACAGTCTAATGAAATTTTTAAACATGTTTTGGTTTATTATTTTCTATAATTAGTCAAAGTAATTTTATAAAACAAAAATTAATTTCTCCCTCTCATAATATATTATATAATAGATTTACTTATTTCCATATTATATTACCATTTGTTAAAATTGGTGCAAAAACAAAAACATTTAGAATCAAAGATTATTAATTTTAATGAAATTTATGTGATATAAACTTTATTAAAATTAATAACTTTATGTAAATTTAATAAATAAATATAAAAGAGAATCAAATTGAGGATGTGATAGTTCAATTATCATTGAGATCACAATTGTTTTTATTTATTATTTTTTTTGGTCTTACCCTCCAGTGATTTTATTATGCTAATTACAAAATATTGTTATTATCAAAATTAAATTAATGGTGTTTACTTAGAATTAAAAGCTTTTATGTATAAGAGATCATTTCACTTCAAACGATACATAGTCTACGTGCATAAACTAGCAGAGCTTTTGGAGATGTGTCATTTGGAATATGCAATGAGAACAATATTTATATTATAAATATTGATGCTTATAAGTTGTTTTAAAAAAATATTTTCAGAAAATTGACTTCTATTTCCAGCAATCCGGTGATAGCCAAGTAAATTGGACATGACTCAAAAAATCCATGATGTCAATAGATATTGAATATTATAACAAGGTACAATTTTTATTTAAAATAAGACATATTTAATGAAGATGCATGAAAGTTTTGTATTTGTAAATGGCACTAGTCATCGAAACATCACCAATAATGAAAATAATTTAAAAAAATGGATTGTTAGATATCTTTGGTCAAAAATCTATTTAAATAATAAATAATATTCTTAAATAATAATTATACAGTACTGAAGATAAAAATAAAATATCTATTATTTTAAATTAAATTAACAAAAGGAAAAGAAATTAACTTTTGGAATGAAAGAGAAATATTATCAACCAAATCAAATTTTAATTTGATTACTTCATTTAATTTTCTTATTTAAAGTAAATTTGAAAATAAAATCTATTATCAAGTTTTCAATTTTTTAAAATAAAATTAATAAACAGAGACTTTGATAAAAACAGAACAGATGAAATATTATAAAAACAAAATAAAAAACATTTATATATGTTATAATATTAAGTAAAATATAAAATAAATTGTTTGTAACTATATTTTTTTTTTACAACGCAAAATAGAAAAAAAGTACTTGTATTTTATTTCCAAGAGATACTAAAATACAAAAATGTATTTTATTTTGTATTTAAAATACACAAAATAAATTACAGTAGGTTCCCTGTAGGTTGATCGTCCAACCAGTAAGTATTTTGTTTTTTAAAATAAAAAAAAAAAATTTTATTATTTTGTATTTGAAATACCTTTTCTGAAAACAATTTAAATACTCTGTAATTAAAATATACCGAATTTGAAAAACATAAAATTCTTGGTATTTTAATGTTACCAATAAATTTAATACTTTATTCAAAAATAATAAATGAAATACTTTTTGTCCAGGTCTGAAACAGAATACATGTGAGAAAAAATCTAATGATCTTTCACATGGTGCAATAGGACCTCTTGTAGTCTCGATAAATCTGAAGTTATTGCCAACAGTTTTTTCATATCATGATCTGATAAACCGGAAAATCACGGAAAAGAATTCTGAAGAATAAATATTTACAAGATTATAAATTAATGAGAGAAAAAATATCAAAAAGAGCCAAAAATTATTGTTAGAATATTACCAGAAGATTAAATTTTTTTTTTAATTTTCTCAAATACCAATTAATTACGGTAGGCTTTGTTTTTGCAATCATGAAATTATAAAGTAATTTACAACATCGGTGTCCAGAAGGAGATTTTGTGGAATAAGTTGCATCATATGAGGGGAGCACATTTTGATGGGATTTAGAATTTTGGTGGAGGGCATATTTCGATAGAGTTGTGAATTTTTGGAATGAAACGTTTTAAGCCAGGAGACAAGAGGAAAACATGGAACAGACCACAAAAAGTGTAATTATAAATGATCTATGAATTTTTAAATTCTACTTTCATTTATACTGTTTTTAGAAGAGAAGAGCAATAAAATATCATGGGTGGGGGAGGAGGGTACATACCATTGACCTTAGGGAGAGATGTCCACTCTTGGCTTACAATAATTTTTTATAGCGTTTTAACTCTACAATTAATCAAAAAATAAATAGCACAATGAAATAAAAAAGATCAGCTATTATGGCCTAACAATAGTTGAAAAGAGATTTATTAACTAAAAATAGTTAAGAAAACTGTTTTTAACTACATTCTTAGAAATATAAATCAAAATTCTATCTTGTTTACCTAAACAGATGTATGTATATCAACATTTAATTATTAAATAATAATAATAATAATAAGGCTTAGCGAACTCGAAGGTTCGATGCCGACACCACCAATCGCTTGTTACACACCTCTTTTTTAAATTGGCTCTTTAAAAATTTAAAACAAACACTCAAAATTAAAAAAAAAAATTAAACACACGTCTTATACCAAACTATCAACTCCCACCATCCTTCCTAAATCTACAGATTTAAGTTAAAACAAACTTAATATTAACATCAAAACTTTAATTAGATAATCTTCTGCTGAGGCACTATTTAGGTTTTTATTAGGCACTATTGGGTTTATATTTTCATTGATCTTACAATATGCAATTCAGTTGTGGAATTAATCTTTCTATGATGTTCTATTCTTCAATTTGAAGTATGAGCCTTTTTCATTTATATTGATCCATAAAGTCTTTTAAAACAGAGTTGAGGTCTGTTTACTATTTTTTTAATTTCCTGGAATCATGAGTACTCTTTGTGCAGGCCACTAACGGATCCAGGATTTAATTTTAGATGGCGGCTTCAGCCTGAAAGATTTTATATATATATACATAATGAAAGTTACTTTGAAATAAAAATAAAGAAACTATATGAAATGGTATATAGGTGATTCTTAAAGTCCTATTAAATGTAATTATATGAACAGTAATATGTTTAGAAATAATTTTGCAATATTTTTTCATAAGACTTAGTTATATTTTACTATTTTGGGGGGCTTCAGCCCGAAAATCCCTGTAGATCTGCCTGTAGATTCACACTCCATTTCAGGTATATAAATCACATTGAAATTAATATATAATAAATAAACAAAGATGATCTAAGTTCTCATGTTCCAGACCTATATAGCCTTTCCCACAGAACCAAATTCCTATGTTCCGTTCTTAGCCACTCAACTGTTTTCTGGAATTCACTACTGTCTTATATCTACTCTGCTCCTTCCCTTTCTTAATTCAAATCCCCCATTTTCTATTACTTCCTTACATCCAAAATAGATGCTCTTCAATTTTGATATTTTAATTTAAGAATAAATTGTTAATTTGAAGATAATAATAGTTTTAATATCTAAGTTTTAATTCAGAGATCAATTATAGTTTTAATATTTTTTCTGTTTATTTTTATTTTTTCAAGACAATTATTTATATTTTCGAGATGAGTCATTTGTTGGGTTTATATTTTTACTGTTGAGAATGTATATACTATTTAAAACTTATTAATGTATTTTGTCAGTTATATTATCTATTTATTCTTAAGAGGCCTGTTCCCAAAATGAAGTTTGTTTCCTAATCTATTCTATTATAAAAATTTTAATATGGTGATAGAGTAGATTTAGAATTATAATAAATTTTAAAAATACTTTTGATTTGTGTTTTTTTTATATTTTGAATAATTTATTTAGATGACTATGCTATGTGATTTATAAGATAAAAAAATTGTTAATTTTGATTAATATTAATTAGTTTTACTAGATCAAGATATTTATTTACCAATGACAGACTCTATAATTTTTTTAAACAACTTTATTCAAGAGAAGCTTTCAGTGACCTGCACCATATTCATCTCTATAATATTACACATTATTAGCAATAAATTTAACAATTAACAATACATAATGTTACATACTTTTCAAGAAATTGTCAAGCCATTAATATACCTTCATTTTCATGCCGTACCTTTGTCCCTTATTTTTCTATTTAGAACTATAATAGATTGGAACATTGTTCGTTCTTCGCCTCATACTTTGTTTTAAATTATTTTGAATTAAAATTAGTGATTAATTAAATAAATGAAATAAAATTTATTTACTGACTTTTCAGAGAAGAGGGATCCTCTTTGTCCAACAACATCTTACTGAATGTTGAACGAACGAACATCTATTATGCTTTCAAATAGAAATATAAGGGATAAAGCTGGTCACTGAAAGCTTCTCTTGAATAAAGTAGTTTAAAAAAAACTATAGAGTCTGTCATTGGTAAACAAATATCCTGATCTACTAGTAACATATAAAACAGTCTATAACTACCTAATAATTGGTTTATTATTTTAATCCTGCTAATAAGAGAAATATTTTGTATATGTTTTAAAACTGATTTACGAATACATTTTACTCATTATGTATGTTTAGAAGTAGGATATATATAAATATATAAATGCTGTTAAATTATATGTGTATATATTTTTTTTTTTGCGGTTGGCCCTACAGATCATTAAGGTCTTTGACCGCAAGATGTGGTCTCCTAGACCCTAGGGTGGGCTTTTCCTGGTGGACGGACACCTAAATTGGTAGGCCACCCATCCAAGTTCTAACCACACTTGGCATTGCTTAACATTGATAATATATTGCAAGTGCCTTAGCCCGCACTGCTACCCCAGCCTATATCTATGTATATATATATATATATATATATATATATATATATATATATATATATATATATATATATATATA